AAAAAAAAATTTATTTATTTTTTATAAACCTTTAAAATTTTTATATTTTAGTCTTATTAAATATTTTTTACTTTACTTTAGATTGAGAACACAGAGTCCTCAATCTCTTTTTTTGCATCCCGTTATAAATGAACAGGAATCCTCCATACTGAGTGTTCCTGTTCATTCATGACATGTGGACATAGTGTGTTTACTATATCCTCAATCATGAATGAACAGGAGGTGATGTAGATCACTTCCCATTCAGTCATAATTGGGGGCACAGTAAACATACTCTGTCCTCAATTATTTACACTCAGCGATCATTGAGTGCATGTACTCGCTCTCCTTCCTGTCACAGGAGGCCGAGCGAGAGGTGCAGGGAGGAGAGCTCGATCTGAGAGATGACTCCTCCCCACACCACCAGCTGGCCTCCTGTGACAGCACTGGCCGTCTCCGCCCACACGGCCGCTCTCCTGACCTGTAACAGAAGGCTGAGCAGTGCGTGGAGGAGAGACGCCAGACTGAAGAAATATCAGAATACTTCCCACAGAGTACTTCCAGGGATTAATTTGTTTTGCCTTCCACCAGGCAAAGTATACTTTCCAAGTGTGATGCTAGACTTTGGGTGATGTGGACTTTCTGGCTTTTATAAGCATAGTAATTACCGAAAATATAAATGTGCACTGTGTAAAGCACTGCAGAAATTGTCAGCGCTATATAAATACCAATAATAAATAAATATCACTGTAGGCAGCAGCAAGGACAAAGCAAGATAGGACCGCGTAACCCTTGCAAACAGAGCTATAATTGGAATCTAACCCCACGCAGAAAAAATGGGAAGAGATGGTGTAGGGCGTCTGCACTTATTTCTTTAGTGTGTTAGACCTTTCAGGCAAAAACAATGTTGAGAGAGAAATTAATAGTGCTCCATGTTTATTTAAGGTTAAGTCCAAAGACTTGCCAAAGTTGTAGGCTGAAGAGCACATGGAGGAAAATAAGCACAGTACTTGGGTGCCCGAGGTACCCAACCATTTGCAGAACCCAGTAATCAATACCACAGGCTAGAAATGTTTTTGGCCCAGTCCAAACTTCCAAGGGAACCATCAGACTGGGTCATACAAGAAGCTGTGCCACAAGAAGCGTGCGCTCTGCTCTGTATGAAGAGTGCTGCAAGCAGAGCCCAGTGATTGAGGATCACATTACAGGCTGGTGCAGCAACCTTTGACCTGGCGTTGTTGAGGAATAGCTGATCCAGATAGTTACATAGGAGCGCAGTAGCAGATTGATGAAGACTTAATTGCATCTCGTTAAAAGAAAACCCACAGTAAATGTCTAATGTAATTTAAAAAAAAAAGACATCCATCCTCCTGGCACAGTAGCAAAAAAAAAACCTGAAGCATGATAGGAGTGGGATTAAGGTTATACCTGGCTGGGCAATGGCTTTTTTTGTTTGCCAGTGTCAAATTCCTCCTGTAGATGATACATACATTTCCCCCCAGGTTTTATAGCTTGCCTTTTCACAGATCTTTTAATAAAGTCAGCACTAAAAAAATTAAAAGGAAAAAAATAAATAAGTTAGGTACTTACATTGTTCCTGTTAAAGGCATTTTCATCTAGCTTCTCCACAGCCAATATAGTTTTAATAGGAATACGAAACATTGGATCTTTATCTGTCAATGACAAAGAATTACTAGATGAAAAACCTAACCAAAATAATGATTTATTATCCAGTTCTTTTACACTGAAGTAGTAAAGCCAAACAACAATCTACGTTCCGTTTTTATAACTTCTAATGAAAGTAACCTTACTACACAGCCCTGGAGGCTGCACAGCAACATGCTGAGAGGAGTTTTAATTTTCTGTTGTAGATACAACAGGAAGCAAGTGGAGATCACGCCAAATTAAGGGAAATCCTCTCACACAGTGGTAACTAAAACAGGTGTCCTAATTGGAATAATTTCCACCTTAGTTCTGTTCTATAGGACTTAAACTTTTTGGTCTTTCTCCACAGTCCAGTGACAATGGTAACGGAGATTAATCAGGACACGGTGTCGGCTTTAGATACACTAACTTTTTTGTGACACCGATCAACGAAAATAGACAAGTCAAATGTAAAAAATTCCACCAGGATTCACTGTTCTATGGCAATAAAACATGAAAACCTTTTTAGGAACTATTAGCTGTTGTAGATGGCCAGCTTGTGGACCCTTGCAGCGATATCACATTCACCTTTCTGCTTGTGGTATGAAAATTCTCGACTTGTAAGTGAAAACCAGCGCTTCTTAAAATTCTTTTTTCCAATACGGGTTCGACCTTGGGCACGTTTTTGCATCTCTCTGAAAATACACACAAAAAAAAAAGTTAACCAAGTGACATTTTACGGTTCTTCTGAGTACCAGCTTTCTGTTCCGCAAATTCAAACTGCGAATAAATTATTCTTACCCATCTTTTAGGATAACAGACTCACTCATTCCACTTGGCTCTTTACTTTCAGTCGATGATATTTCCTCTAAGAACTAGACAGAAGAGTAGTAAGTGTCAAAAAGAGAATTTTATAAAGGGAACGCTTTAGCCACGCAAACATGCACAACCATCCTTATAGCATTAGACAGGTTTTCATCTAAAAGGAAACTCATGACAAAACCAATACGTTTTTAATGGTTAGTTTTGGGCGTTGCCTGTAACTCTTCAGCGTCTTAATTCTGTCCAAGACTCCATTAATGAGATTTAGCAAGGGTAATTTGTGGCTCATTCCCCTCCTCCAGACTATCATCACTCTCTTGTATTCTGACTCCACAATTGGTTGTTTATTCTACATTATGCAGTCTCTCAGGGAAATCACACATGAGGAAATGTATATAAATCACATCAATGTGCATATTCCATCATATTTAACTGAAGGGTACATAAGTTGGGGATTCACTTCGGAGACCACTGTAATCACTGCTGTCATTGGTATTTGAATTATAAAAAGAAATGAAGAGGGTAGGGTAGAGGTGATCTCACTATATTCTCCCACACAGGGCAGAGGAACTCTGTAGACTCTCTCACTCTTTTGGTCTATCAGAACTAGTGGTATAACAGTGATTGGAGTTGGAGCCACACGTAGGGCCAGTTTAGAGAGTAAACAATGTTTAGCAAGTTTACTCACTTTCATAAATGCATTTATTTTTTAAATAACGTAAAAAAATAAGTTTAGGTCACACTAATAAGTACATTGTATAACATGCAGAAAATCTAATTTTTTTTAGAAAATCTGGTTTTCCCAAACTCATATCTGACTAAATTGCGTAAACATCTCTTGACTTTCCCAAATCCTTTGTTTTCCACTTCTAACCCAAAAGACTGCCTGTTCTAGTGATCAGACTTCCAAGAACCACTTTCTACTGCCATCATGATCACAGGCCTCAGCATTTCACATGGAAGTCTATACCCGTTTCTGTAACTTAGACCTACCAAAATGTATTTTAAAGGATTAATTTACTGTATGCAGTCATCAATCTGCAGTCTAATGAAGCCACAACTGAGACACTACCTGTTCTGTGGAAAATCTCACGTACAGGTACATAAAAAGGATGCAACAACCCAATAATATGAACGGAGAGTGATTATTACAAAACATCAAGATCCACAAACCTTTTTAACATCAGCTGTGTAGGTTTCTTCTTCAAACATCTTGTAGAAATCACACATGAATGGCTCTTTGAAGCTAGACTGCATAAGCAGAGCAGAACGTTATCTAAGGTATTTTACAAATCATGTTCACAAACAGACAAAGCCAACACAAAAAGAAACTTACAGTTTTGCTTTTTGATAAATTGCCCACACACCCAAGGGTTTGGATGGTTTTGGAAACGAGAGTCAAAATACGTGATGTTGCTGGATCCTAAAATAAGGATAAAAAAGTGTGGCAAGTTACCTCTCACAGAAAAAAAACACATTTTCTCCAGGTAACGGTACTAAACTGAGCTGGGACTGAACTTCCATCAATCTTGTGTTCTACAAATCGCTGACCAGGGGTAGGTCACTACCAAAAAAAGGATTGCTTATAGTAAGTTATAAATAGTAACACAATCAATAATCTTATAGGTATACTAAAGTGATAATAAACTCAGGAGTTAAATCTTAATGCATTCAGGTACCCTGACTATTAACAAAAATGTAGCAAGGCTATAGAGCCTCAAATCATCTCTGAATTGGTGCTGACACTGTCCTTCCTTCTGGAGGGTGGCTACTTTTGTTTCCCATGGTCCCTGTGTGTGTTGTCAAGTAGCCACCGCTGCAAGCTCGCTCCCGGGATGGACTGCAAGCTCACATTTAGTTTAATACTTTCTATAGAGATTGTAGTCCATCACAGGAGCGAGCTTAGAGCAGTGGCTACTTTATAACACGCATAGGGAGATGGGGAACAAATGTAGCACAAATTCAGAGATGATTTGAGGATCTACAGCCGAGTGATACACACATAAGATATGATTATGTTAATAGCGAAGGTACTTGAATGTAGTTTTAACTTCTGAGTTTAGTGTCACTTTAATAGAAGAATAGAATTTTTTTGTCCTACCAGAAAAATACATTTTGGGCACACATCACAGGACACAGGGAGCTAATTGTTCTACAGATGGGTTATGCAGCTACCTTTAGGTGATTGGGCACTAGCAAATCAATCAAAGCTGTAGGTTAGCCCTGTATAACTCCTCCCACTCCTCCTCAGTTTTGTAACAAGCAGTACAAGAGGGGAGGGTCCTGTGAAATATTTCAAGAAAGAGATTGTACAGGCAAGACAAAAACCCTTTTTTCTCTATTCGTACATCACAGAAACCTAATTCTTCTACAGATGAAACATCCAAAAGTGGTTCAACTGAGGAGCAGGCAACACATCAAACTAAGGCTAAAAAGTTTGTGAAAACAACAACTAACCCCAACAATGAACCATAACAGAAGGGGCTCACATACCAGAGGGCCACTGGAAAAATCTGGTGGTTGAAGCTAGCAAGCGAGGTCTGAACATCCACCTGATAAAACTTTGCAAAAATGTGGACCAGAGGACTAGGTGGCAACCTTGCAGATTTAGGAAACCGAAGCCCGATGGTGGAAGGCCCAAGAACTAACACTTCTAGAAGAGTGAATCTTAATCCAAAAGGGGGAACTTTACCCTTCAACCCGAGTGATAGTTTGCTGAATCCACCTGGCAATAGCAGAATAAAGAAGAGGGGGTCAGACTTGCGGATGTAAGCTGTAGCAGAGAGGTAAATTTGAACAGTCCAAACTACATTCAAACAATGTAGGGAAACTTCTTTAGGATGTTTTGGTGCAGAACAGAAAGACGGTAAAACAATGTCTAGTTAAAGGAGAACTATGGGGTAAATGTTTTTCCCCATAGTTCTCCTAAGGGTCACTGGAGGACACAAAGGCATTTGATACGGTACCACACAGGCGCTTGCTACACAAGCTGAGAGCTATGGGCATAGATGAGGTGGTGTCTACGTGGATAGAGAACTGGCTACGGGAATGTGTCCAGAGGGTGTCTGTAAATGGCGCCTTTTCAGACTGGGCTAGTGTAATGAGCGGTGTGCCTCAGGGTTCTGTGCTGGGTCCCATATTGTTCAACTTATTTATTAATGACATCGGGGAGGGTGTTAACAGCGATATTTCCGTGTTTGCGGATGACACCAAAATTGGGAGGGTAATAGACACGGACTTAGACATTATAACATTACAGGAGGACCTGGATAAATTAGGGGAGTGGGCAACAATGTGGCAGATGAGGTTTAATGTCGATAAATGCAAAGTAATGCACTTTGGAATTAAAAATAAACAAATGGGTTATTGAGTGAAAATCACTCACCTCATAGTTCTCCTTTAAGGTAAGAGGCAGAGACCACCTTAGAAAGAAAGGAACTCTTAGGCTTAAGCACTACTTGCCCTGTACAAGTCAAGGCCGCCAACTCAAACAACTGGCAGATGTAATGGTAATGAGAAAGGCAATCTTGTGAGTAAGTAGGGTCCGTGGGATAATCACTTCAGGAATGCAACCTCCTTGCTTCATGCCAAGCAAAATAAGCCTGCCAGGAATTATGCTAGACCTTGCAAGAGGTTGACTTCCTAGCTTTTAAAGCGCAGGGGTTGCAGATTCCAAGAGGCCTCTGTCCTTCAACAGTCTCCTGGGTCAGTTCAGAGCAATGACGATCACCGGAATGCCCTTTGACACGATCCTGCAAAAGAGGGCAAGGTAAGAGTCTCAGTGGAGGGAAGACATAGATCAGGCTGAACTAATCCCAAGGAGACACCAAAGGATCTACTGCACAGGTCCGGGGACCCCTGGTCCCTGCGATAAACCTGTCCAGTGTTCACCTTTGAGCCTGCACACCAGGAGCTCAACCTCTGGTGTTCCACACATGCAACAAAGGTCCCGAAACACCTCTGGATGAAGAGGCCAGTCTCCAGAATCCGACGGAGGTGGCCAATTTTCTACTCCTGGGATGAGCACAATGGATAGGTTGAGATATGAAGTTCTGCCCAGAACAGGAGTAGGTCCACTTGAGCTGCACGGCTTTGTGTGCCTACCTGATAGCCAATGTAAGCCACAACCAACAGGTCATTAACTGACTGAATCCTGATTGGGTAGCCCTGTAACTGGGGGGGGGGTCCACCGTTGAAGGGACAACCGAATGGCCCTGAGCTCCAAGATGTTGATTGGCAGATGAGATTCCTCGATAAGGTCCCTTGAATTGAAAAGTTCCCCAGGATTCCTTCACAGCCTGACAGGCTGGTATCTATCGTGAGCACCTTGCAAACCCGCGGGAGGAAGGACTTCCCCGATTCCAACAACGGGTTGGAAATCCACCATGTTAGTGCAAATTTTGTCTTGATGGGCCAGTGAATGTGGAGATCCAGGAAATGAGTCTGTTTGTCCCAAGCAGCCAAGACAGGGTTTGTAGCATCCATTGAATGTTGGATTACAAGGCTTCTGCCAACTGTTCTCGGAGAAGAAGGTCATCCAGGTACCTACTAAGGGGATACCTGAGACTAAAGCAGAGCTAACACAGGGGACAGCACCTTGGTGAAGACCTGAGATGCAGTGGACAAACCAAATGGAAGGGCAACAAACTGGTAGCAATGATGAGCAAGGAAAATGGGGATGTGCAAACATGGATCCTTGATGTCCGTGGACGCCAGAAAATTTAACGTATGAATGGAGCTGATGGCAGAGTGGGTAGATTCTGGACTCACAGGAACCCACTGAGGATCTTCAGATCAAAAATGGGAGTGGTACTCCCTTTGTGCTTTGGGAAGAGTGGAATAAAACCTCTAGGACTTTTCTGACTCCACCACAGGTACCCCTTGGGAAAGGCACTGACCTAAAGCAGTGAGAAGATCCGACTGGCAAGGAGTGAAACTCCAACTTGTAACCCCTGGTTATGACACTCTAGACCTGAGAAGGCTCACAGACATCCCCCACTTGTAAAAGTGGGAGCACTCCTTCAAAATAAAGAGGTCTTGTTCCTAGTTTCAGTTGGCTTGGAGGGCCAGGACCTATAACAGAAGCTGAGAGCCTGATTTGGATCCAGAGGCTTGGGAGGGATGAAAGGAACCCTTCTTGAAGGAGGGAACAGAGGATTTTGCTGCTCAAGGCTTTGAATTCAGTGTCTTAAGCACACTGAACACCAGGCTGTCTATCTTTCAGTGGGGTCTAGGTACGCCAAGGCTCTTCTGAAGAGAAAACTGATCCAGATAGCTGCTGTTAGGTGCGTCAGTGGCTGTGAGCAGCATTTGGAGAAACTTCTTAAATTAGTCTTTAGAAGGAAAGTGCAGGAAATCATGTACTTCTTTCAGAGCAGAGAGGTGGTGTTCATCACCTAAGGACACTGGCAAAAAAACTAAGATGGATTGGGAGGGGTTATACAGGGCTGTCCTACAGCTTTGATTGATTTGCCAATGTACAGAGTACATTGAAAGTAGCTGCTTAAACCCATCCATAGTAGAATGAGTCCTGTAATGCATGATCAAGAAATGGAGTTTTAGTTTGTCCCATCGTTACAGTGTGATACAGATATTGCATGTTGTACAAGATTTTGGAGGGTACAGATAAAAAGTGTTTTTTCATTCCAAATAAAAACTTTACTTTGAAAGTAAAAGAAAGAAAAAATATATATTGGTGTTGGACCTCAAGGTAATGGCTGCATGGAATGGAGCTGTTCTGTAAGGTTCCATACTAATAACAGCGGTTGTGGGACTGTGGACATAAATTGGTAATGCACACTACCCCTGGCTTCTCTGAACACTCACACCAGTTCTGGCACTTCGCATTACCCCAACCAGGCCCTTCCCCTGGCTTCCCTGAAAACTGCTCCCAGCTACCTTGAGGGTTGAAACCAGCTCTGGCAGTCATCAGCAGCAGTGTCCTGTGCAGGCCACCAATGTATGCATGCAGTAAGCCATCTACAGCTGCAATAGTCCTTCCCTGCAGACGACTCCCCTCTTGCCCTTCTTAAAAGACTGGAGATGCTTCCCGCCCATATAGTCAGCACAAAGCAGAATGACATCAAAGTAGGGAGGAGGGAGACAGGGCAGCCACGTACTGGGTGCTTTGTATGCAGACAAGGAACAGAGCCTGAGACAAGGCTGACTGAGCGGGGAATGTTGCAACCTGATACAGCCCTAGCCCTGACCTTTTCTCCATGGTCTCACTGGGTTAATCCAGTTTGACTGACTAATGTGCAGGCAGCGCTCAGGTAACACCAACTTATTTTAGTGTGTCGCAGTAGAACCAAGAACACATACTGCCTGCCATCATACCCTCCGCATTTCTCTCCTGCACATACTGCCATACCCTCTGCACTCTCCTCCTGTACATTCTACCTGGTATTATACTCTTCAAAGTTCTCTTCTACATGTACTGTCCAATGTCATACCCTCCACATTTTTCCTTTGCACATACTACCTGCTGCCATACCCTCCTCACTTCTCTCCTGCACATACTGCCTGCTGCGATACCCTCCACACTTATCTCCTGCACATACAGTGTATCGTCATACTAACCTCTCCACTCCTTTCCTGCACATACTGCCTCATGCCATTCTCTCCTGCACATACTGCCTGCTGTCTTATCCTACACACTCCTCTCCAGCACATATTATCAGAGGCCATACCTCCTTTACATATTGCCTGCTGTCATGCCTTCCACACTCCTCTTGTTCACACTGTGTCAACTGCCATACTCTCTGCACTCCTCTGCTGCACATATTGCCCCATACTCTGCTCTCTTCTCTCCTACATATACTGCCTGTTGTCATGTACTCTGCACTTCTCTTCTGCAGGTTTTGTCCATTGTCATACTAAACTCTCCACTCCTTTCTGGCACATAATGCTTGCTGTCATACTCTTCACATTCTTCTTCTGCACAAATTCTCCACTGTCATCCCCTCCGCACTCCTCTACTGCACATGCTGCCTGCTGTCATACCCTCCACACTCCTATCAACATGCTGCCTGTTGTGATAACCTCCACACTCATCTCTTGCACATTCTACCCACTGTCATACCCTCCACACTCCCCTCCTGCACATACAGGCTGTCATCATACCTTCCACACTCCTCTCCTACATACTTGCCTACTGTCATACCCTCCACACTTCTCTTCTGCACAAACTTACCTGCTGTCCTACCCTCTGCACTCTTCTCCTCCACATATTTCCCACTATCATACCCTTCACACTACCTGCTCTCATACTCTGCACTTCTCACCTGCGCATCTTACTAAGGGCAGGTTCACACCATTTTCCAGACCAGATCTGGTTTGGAAAATGGTGTGAACCTACCCGTAAATCTAGTGGGACGGACTGCGCTGGTGTGAACAGAGGCCAGAAATAGCACAGGGATACATTAGGATGCATGTTGGGTCCGGATACAATCTGGACTGGTCTGGAGATGATCTGGATGTGGTGTGAATGGGCCCTAAAACATTTCTTCAACATTGTTCCTTTTTTTTTTAAAATCAAAACTTCCATAAAAACATGATATACACCAGGGCTCAAAATTTCAAGTCCTGAGCTACTAGCCAGGCCTTAAGAGTTACTCGCCACCAGTCGCCCCACCTGACCCCTACCGTGCCCCGCCCTTAACTCCGCCAGGTCAGTGGTGTGACACAGAGAACAGAGATACCCTGATATACACTATATTGCCAAAAGTATTGGGACGCCTGCCTTTACACGCACAGGAACTTTAATGGCATCCCAGTCTTAGTCGTAGGGTTCAATATTGAGCTGGCCCACCCTTTGCCGCTAGAACAGCTTCAACTCTTCTGGGAAGGCGTCCACAAGGTTTAGGAGTGTGTCTATGGGAATGTTTGACCATTGATGCGGAATTGCAATTAGTATGCTGATGCCTTAAGAGTTCCCTTCACTGGAACTAAGGGGCCAAGCCTAACCCCTGAAAAACAACCACACACCATAATCCCCCCTCCACCAAACTCTACACTTGGCACAATTCAGTCAGGCAAGTACCGCTCTCCTGGCAACCGCCAAACCCAGACACGTCCATCAGATTGCCAGACAGAGAAGTGTGATTCGTCACTCCAGAGCACACGTCTCCACTACTCTAGAGTCCAGTGGTGGTGTGCTTTACACCACGGCATCCGACGCTTTGCATTGCACTTGGTGATGTAAGGCTTGGATGCAGTTGCTCGGCCATGGAAACCCATTCCATGAAGCTCTCTACACACTGTTGTTGTGCCAATCTGAAGGCCACACGAAGTTTGGAGGTCTGTAGCTATTGACTCTGCAGACAGTTGGTGACTTCTGTGCACTGTGTACTTCAGCATGCTCTGGCCCCGCTCTGTCATTTTATGTGGCCTAACCACTTCGTGGCTGAGTTGCTGTTGTTCCCAGTTGCTTCCACTTTGTTAGAATACCAATAACAGTTGACCGCGGAATATTTAGTAGCAAGGAAATTTCACTGATGGACCTATTGTACAGGTGACAACCTATTACAGTACCACACTTGAATTCACTGAGCTCCTGAGAGCGACCCATTCTTTCACAAATGTTTGTAGAAGCGTCTGCATGCCTAGGTGCTTGATTTTGTACACCTGTGGCCATGGAGGTGATTGGAACACCTGAATCCAATGATTTGAAGGGGTGTCCCAATACTTTTGGCAATATAGTGTATATTGCAGAGCCTTCCAAAGTATATACTGAATTTCGCTCCCTTTAGAATACAAACCCCGTTAGTAGGCAAAATCTGTTGATAAACTAGCAAGTGCTTCAATGAAAAGGTCTTGGTACATGACTTCTGCTTCCTGTCAGCATATATAGTCCTCCTTTCCTCAGTAGGAACAAGTGCACAGTATCTCCAAGAATAACTGTGTATAAGACCTCATAAATAAATTATCTGCATTCAGGGAGTCCAGCTATGAAAATGGTAAAGGAGAAACAAAAACATCCCTGTGCGCATATGCGCTCTAAACAAAGATGTACCAAAAAAAGAAACTTGTCTTTTCTTGGGATATGGTCATTTATATAAAAGATATTTATATACAGTATTATATAATACTAAAGTACTAAATTGTAGTCACTGAGCTTGCATTAATGACAGCAGCCTCGTTTATATTTTACCAACAATGTCACCCTCACAAAAAACAGTCTAATATATACAGTCACTAATAAACTCCTTCTGTAATATCCTTTATGAAGCTTCTTGTTCTAACAATAAAAAAACATCAACTTTGGCAATAGTATAAATTGCTCTCCTGTGTCACTCTTGATGTGGCCTTGCAGTGCTTTTGGTCAATTCTGTTGCTGCAGTTGAAAGTGCAAAACTATCCACAGAGAGGTCCTTGTCTAGTCCAAGCCTGGTTCATGGAGGGCTCATGGCTTGGCATGTAAACCTTGGGAGTATATTCTTATACATAGACACTAAGTGACAAAGTCTCTTTAAATCCTTATTATAGGTTTTCTAATTTTTTTAATAAACTTGTTATAAAACACTGGAAAAGAGTTTGTTTGTCAAGTTTTTTGTTCTGTCTTCCAACCCCATTAAGGAGATTTTCACTTACCTCCTGATCTTATGATATCTATACAATAAATTGGCGTGGGGGAGCTTGTTGTTGGGACAGGAAGTGCTCAGATGTTATAACCCTTCGCCACTTTACCGAAAATTTGTATTTCTCTCGATTAAGTTTAAATTATCATTGGTGCTTGCGTTGACGTAGAGAAAACGTGAAGATTCTGTGGTAGCTTCATAATACAAGCACTGGAAATCAACCCGGTTACCCAAGAACAAATCCCTGGCCGTGCTTACAGCATCTGCCAAGGCTGCTCTTCCTACAGTTACACTCTACAATTAGGTTGAACATTACTCTTCTGGAGCCATGTAGAGTTTCTAAAGCAGCGCCAGCAAGTCTGCCTGAAAACAATCACACAATATAGCAGCAGAATTTTAGTACCAACTTCATCTTCTCCCAAACACTCCTGTCTTAAAGAGATCCTCTAAAAACAAAATGTATGAGTTTGGCTTAGAGACAATGGCACTCCAAATCATCCAATATGAATAACCTAAATGCATGATATTCAATGGAAGCACAGGTCAACTTACTGGGTGGTGGGATCTCAAGTGGAATATATGAGGGGACACAACGGCCACAGCAAAGAATCGGAGAAAGACAAAACTGCTGACTGCTGAATACTGTACATGAGGGTCATCTGCAGAGAGACATTAAGAAAATACAGATATAAAACCATGTCTTGAAGGATGTTAACCATATTGATTAGGAACCAAGTTATATCTGCATAGTGGTATACAAACCGTGCACTACAACACTTGCATTACTGAAAGGATTGAGTGCAACAAGAACACAACTCAGGAATGGGACATAGGGGTGTCTGAATAAATACAGGTGCCTTCTGATCCATCAAATAAGCTTTCATGACATCATACTAAAACTACAAAATGCATCAGAAAAAAAAACTACCAAGATTACATTAAAGCAGAAGTCTCATCATATCATGGTCTTCATGGGGTACAAAAGTAGCCCCCCTGCAGAAGGAAGGACAGTGTCCGCACCAATTCAGAGATGATTTGAGAATCTACAGCCGAGTGATACACACATAAGTTACATTTGTAATAGTTCGGGTACTTGAATGTATTTTTAAGATTAAACTCCTAAGTCTACTGTCACTTCAACTATTCTTTGTGAGCAATACGTTGATGAGGTAATGTTGCTCAATGTCATTCCCATAGTTTGTACCCTAAGGATAACCCACTCCACTTTAGAAGAGAAAACTTCACCTGCTAAAGATTTTTTTTAACTTAAAGTGACATTAAACCCTCAGATTTTTTAACATAAACCAATACTGTAATGTGTGCCTTACTGTAATCCATGGTTGTTTCCCTTCTCTTTGCTGCTCTTCCTTTTAAATCTGTATCTGTTCTCATGCTGGGCAGAACTTCTGTTTTGCAGCAGACTGCCTTGTCTCAGGAATGGATATATGGTGTCTGTGTATAGGTTTGTAACCTGAGCCAGCACTACAGGAAGAGGCACTGAGCTGCAAAGGGAAGTTCTCCCCAAGCATGAGAAGAGATACCGATTTAAAAGGAAGAGCAGCAAAGAGAAGGGAAACTACCATGGATTACAGTAAGGCACACGTTACAGTATTGGTTTATGTTAAAAATCTGAGGGTTTAATGTCACTTTAATAACAAGCTATAGATTTATGCTGCTCCATCTCAAATGAGAATGCAAATTTCAAAGCCTAACTCACAGTGGAATAGGTGATGCTAGGGAAAGCATGCAGAGCATCCTGGAATGAATAGGGGATTTTGGGACATGTGCCTAAAAGTGAACTAACCCTTTAAGCTTAGTACTAATAATGACAAAACGGGGTGAAGCTCTTTATCCGATTCTCATGCTTTCCTCCACATTTCCAAACCGCAGTAATTTTTCTAAGTTGCCCACTATCACCCTACCCAGCAGAGGTAATGAAGGGGCAATTCTTACTAGGGAAGTGCCGGACGGCCATGTGGCGCAGTGTAGAGAACAGGTCACACATCACAGTGGGGCAGCTCATGCTGGATTTGACTATACATGAGAAAACTTTGTCCACATAACTTCTCAGATTGTCCTGCAGAAAAGGCATAAAACAAACCATTGGAATTATGAGACTTTCACATATACAACACTGGGAAATAAATTATGCTGCATGGGGACTAAGATTTCAAGATGGGGTAGGTCACATTTGGAAACATGAGCAAGAAGATCTGCCCACTGCAGACACAATATTCTTGTAGTTTGGAACTGTAATTTCACTAGTATGTAATATAATATTTTGAGGCTCTGCAGATGATTAAATGTTTGCCCTCTGGTTAACCAGAGCCATTTTTTAAATTTCTTTGCACGCATTCAAATGCACATTTCAGGCCTGAACATTGTTTAAAACCCACAAACATGATATATTTTCTAAAAGCAGAGACCTTGGAGAATAAAAATGTGGTAGCTGCAATTTTCTACATCACATATTAGCACAACTGTTTAGTGTCTTTTTACTGAAAATTTGGTTATATTAAAGTTCATTTTTACTACACACACACACACACACACACTAAATATAATCCCCAATTTTTTGGTAAAATATAAAATAAAAGATGAGGTTGGGTCAGGTAAACAGATGCCAAGTCTTAAAACTGCTGGCCCCATGAAATGGCATCAAACCTTGGTATCAAAAATTGTCCACGACAATACGTTTAATTTATTCATTATTATTTTTTCTACACTTAAACTTTATTGCCATCACATAGGGACTGATAGCATAGTAGAAATGACAGGTCCTCTTTAAGGAGACATCAGGGGTCACCTGTAAACCCCAGTGCAACTGATGAAGCACGGATCGTGTTTTATCAGCTTCTTCCCTGGTCACAGTGGCTGGGTAATGACAGTTATGACCATTAAGTGACAAAATCTTCATCACTTCTGAGTTAATTCACAGGTTAACTGAACTCTCTATCCTGTTTTGTGTCCACAGGAGAGGCAGCAGAACCTGGAATACATGGCGGGGACAGTCGGCCGGGGATGAAGGGGGGTTAATTGGGTGACCTTATTCGAGAAGAGAAACTGGAGTAGAACCTGTAAACTTGTTTTGTCGTGAACGGCTGCATCTGGAGAGCAGTGCCATCATTCACAAAAGCACAAGCCAACAGCAACACCAGCTAGTTACTACACTAGTCTCTCTTGGAATAATACAGTGTTTAAATACAGTCCATGTTTCTATATACCGTAGTCATTTTCGTTTTACTTAATGCATTTCTGGCAATGCAGCCCACCACAACACACTGCACTACATTGTGCCGCAATGCATGAGTGTTGAAGCTGCATTGCCTTAGAACGTTTGCGTGCTATTCAAAATAAACAGAGGGGTGTGAATGGACCCTTCTGGATTGTTAGCCAAAGTTGCTTCTTAAAACATCAATATGTACAATGAATATAATCTGCTGTATTAAATACGAGGAATGGCCTGGTAATCTAGGATGCATTACTAGCCTTCAATACTAGAGAACCATTAAATCCAACAGCCGTCTGTAAAACATAGCTGGAGCACCTGTGTTTTAGAACGAGGTAGCATTTACAAGCATTTGCTGACATGAAAACACTTATACAATTAGTCTGATCCTTTTGAGGTTTACTGCCTTGTACTTATTATTTCTCAAGCAACCTAAATACTGCCCTCTACTGGCTAGCATTTTAATTCCACTGTGTGAATAGCTGGAGATAGTGTAAAACTCCCAATACATTAATTTGATTATTTTCATAAACTAGATAATGTAAGGAATGAAGTGTCATCTGTGAATATGCAATGGTTTCAGGAGGTAATCACAATAAATATTATTTAAAATAAAAGGTGGAACAGTGGGCAGGTACATTTTCTAACAGTTAAATTCCTTTCCTAAAGAAAACTGCTGTAATTTTCTCTTTTGCACAATATTCATGCCCGGTGTTTGGGGGAAAATTCAGGACTAAACTCTGTGCACCACCTGTTAATGTATGTAAGTGCTTAACGCTTTGAAGTGGGGATTCTGACACAAGAGGCAGGTGTAGTACACAAATACCTGGCAAAACCTGGATAGAGGTTTAAGAAGAGATTTAGTTTTAGTTATATTTTAATCATCTGAATTGTTCTGGTTTAAGTCGACTAAATATCATAAGATTTTAGTCAACTAAATCTACAGTAGATGTACGGTAGTCTAATAAAATCTAGTGGGTTTAGTTAAAGAGTAATGTAAGAATTTCCCTAGAATTTCCAATCTCATTATACTGTACATTCCTGGAGTAAACCTCTTTTAGCCTGCTATTATTAATGGTATTAAGGTTTGAACATGCAATACAGACACAGATTTACCTGTTGTGCCATATAACATGTCTATCTTAAAATTAGATTAAACCAAGTCTTATAAATATTGGAGTATTTTCAACCAAGGACCAGTAATTAGATCTGCATTGGTTATAACAACTTGCAAATGACATTCTTCATTCTTTCAAGCAGAAGTGCAACTCTAAAATATTAAAATTAAAAACTATATTGGCTGTAATGCCATTGCACATGTTACCTATTAGCCATCCATTCAGGATGGAATCGGAACTGGAAGTCCAAACAGATAAGTTCTGATCGGATCTCTTCCCAAATTGTCTCTCCCTAACATTTTAGTCTAGCTTTATTTAGTCGACTGAAACGTCAATATATTTTCGTTATAGTTTTAGTCATCATAACTTAGTTTTTATTTAGTTTTAGTGTTTTTAGTGTTTAGTGTTAGAAATAGTGTTGTTGACGAAAACTATGACGAAAATGATATGTCGACGAAATTAGCACTATGTTAGATGTTGTAAGAGGTATCTGTGCTCCTATGATGGATTAGGCTATGAATGCCAAAGGGGGAACAAGCCTGAAAAAATAACCAGCTGCATACGCTGTTTTTGGATGCTCTAAAGGTGAATAAAGGAACATAAATATGCATTATTTCACCAGCTACATGTTCTGTGTATTAACCTTAAAGCGGGGACAATAGTATGTGGAAAATAAAAGAATTTATATATGA